GCACAAGACACCCTCGCCCGCCCCCTGCTGGACAGGCGCGCGAAGTGCAGCGAGCAGGCTTCGGGCTCGGGGAAGGGCGGTGGAGAAGCAGCTGGAGGGCGAGGCAAAAAAAAAAAAAAAGTTAGTTGGGGCCCATATGACCAATCTATGGCATTAAAAAAGCACCTGCCTCGCTCAACAGAGGAAAGCTTCCAAGGGGTAGATGCCTTAATGTGTAACTGGAAAAACTTGAAAAACAACAAGCAGCCCTGCAGCACCCTAAAGACTAACCAACCATGTAAACGGCATCATGAGCTTAATGGGACCGTCGACATGGCTTGTTAGTCTTTACGGTGCTTCTAGACCCTTCATTGTGCGTTAAGTTTCAAAACGGAAATACATTCAAAATAGCAGGCGGGTGTTTTTATTGCTTCTCCTGTGGCTGTTTGAGTCTATAATGCTCACATTTCCCAGCAGGGACACACGGGTTTCCTTTCAAAACATAATCACATGGGTGAAGCGTCTCCCACAATCCCATGACTCCAGGAGATGGAGCTTTCGAGAAATACCAACTTGCTCAAGAACTGTCAACACTGGAAAAAGATCTGTTAAGGCAGGGGAAAGAAAGGAAGGGAAACAGGGAGGAAACTAGCAATGGAGAGGAAGGAGAAGTGGAGTACAGCTGGATTAGAAACCCATTCTTGCCCAGGAATGAGAGGGTGTCATTTTATCCCTGAAATATCTCAACATGCATGCGCATGAGGAGACTGTTGCAGTGAAACTGATGGACTCAGTGTGAACGGGAAGCTAATTCAGTGAGACCTCTGCACCATTTCCACATTCAAGCAGTGCACATATGTAGAACCCTACAGGTAACAGTGATTACTGAACACAACTTTCCTGGAAATGAATCGTGAGGCTGGTTTAAAAAGCAATGGCCCATGGAGACCACTGATCAAATGGTGCTTGTCCAAATCCAACATGGATCTTAAGTTGCTGGTGGTGTTAAAAAACTGAATGTTTCAAATGCTAAGCCTAGAACGTGTTTTTTCACAAGATAGGCTGCACTTTTGAAAAGAACTTAATCATGTGAGTTCTTCATTGGGAAATCAATGTTAGGCTAACATGTTAATTACAAGCTTAAGAGCTTTGGTGATCTGGGGCCTTTATTCACTGTCTACACTCATTTTCCTTCCACATAAAGCAAAAGAGTTGTAAAGTTAAAAACAAAAAAGCTTTTAATGGAATAGTGTACCCTTTCAAGATACTACACGGTTGTCTGAATAATGTTTAAGTTGTAACAAGCCACACTTAGGACTGTAATGAGAAGACTGGAGAAACAAATAGTTCCCGTTAGTTTAGTGTGAATATGACTACATAAAATGCTGCCAAATACAGCATCATTTCCCCTCTACAGCCAATTCTCTCTAGGCTGTGTCTAGACTGGCAAGTTTTTCCGCAAAATCAGATGAGTTTGCGGAAAAACTTGCCAGCTGTCTACACTGGCTGCTTGAATTTCCACAAAAGCACTGACGATCTCATGTAAGATTGTCAGTGTTCTTGCGGAAATACTATGCTGCTCCCGTTCGGGCAAAAGTCTTTTTCCAAAAAACGTATGCGCAAAAGGGCCAGTGTAGGCAGCAGAGATTTGTTTTCCGCAAAAAAGCCCCGATCGCAAAAATGGCGATTGGGGCTTTTTTGCGGAAAAGCGTGTCTCGATTGGCCACGGATGCTTTTCCGCAAAAAGTGCTTTTGCGGAAAAGCGTCCTGCCAATCTAGATGCTCTTTTCCGAAAATGCTTTTAACGGAAAACTTTTCCATTAAAAGCATTTCCGGAAAATCATGCCAGTGTAGACGTAGCCCTAGTGTTTGTGTGGATCTTTAAGCAACGGAAAAAAAAATTCAAAAAGGAAATGAAAGGGTGATGACTGGAGGGTAGTTAGTGCGATGGCTATTTTAAAATGATCAGACACACAAACCTAGATAAGTGCTTCCTGACCACAGCCTGCCTCTGGCATCCCAGCCACTTCCTCCTTCCAACTACCTGCCCTAAGTCATCATACAAACCTTCTGCTCCCGCAGGTCACAACTCCCTCCCACATCCTGCACCCCTCCTGCACCACTCCCCCAGGCCAAAATCCTCTTCTGCACCCATATCCCCTCCTGGACCCGGCACCCCAAGATCACAATCCCCTCCTTTACCCCAACTCCCTCTCAGACCCCACATCCCCTCCTCACCCCAGTCACGTACCCCCGAGCTTCCTTTTGAACCCAACCTCTATCCCAAAGCCCGCCCCTCCATCCATAGGACAGTCTAGCCCTTGATCACTTACCAAAATCTTGGATTAGCCCCCATCAAACACTTTTGCCCACTCCTGGATAAGGGGGAAGGTCCTCTCATGGGTATATAACTGGCTAAATGATAGACAACAAAGGTAGTGTTCACAATGGAGGTCAACAGTGGAGTCCCCCAAAGATCCATACTAGGATCTGTGCTAGTCAACATATTCATGAACGATCTGGAAAAATAGGTGAACAGCCAACAGAAAATTATTCAAGAGAAACTATTGCAAAGAGTAAAACAGGAGTGGGGAATCTCTTTTTGGATCAGGAGCCTCTGACCCACAGAAAAATCAGAAGAGTGAGAAGCAAAGAAAACATCCCAAAACAAAAACACCTCAGTGATGTGGCCCACTACAGAGAAGCAAAAAGACACTCCCCCCATTCCCCACACATCAGAGCCTGGGGGGCCCAGGCTAGTAGATTTTGTGTGCCCCTCTAGGCTCTGGGGTGTGGCCAAAAATAAGGGGTTCATTGTGTGGAAAGGGACTGCCACGAAGTGCACTTGTTGGGTCTGGGTGGGTAGTAGGGTGCAGGAGGTTGGCGGTGGGAGAGGTGGGCAGGAGGTAGGGTGCAGGAACAGAGTGGGGGTGTATCAGTGGGCTAGGGGTGCTGTAGAGCTGGGGGCAGGAACCGTGAGGGCCAGATCCAGACAAGCCGGAGGCCCCCGGACCATAGGTGTCCCACCCCTGAGTAAAGGGATCTCACATAAGTGGGTGGCTGGGCAATAAAACAACCAATGAAAATTCAATGTTGATAAGTGCAAAGCAATGCAAAATGGAAAACGTAACCCCAACTACACGTACAAAATAATGGGGCTTAAATTAGTTACCCCCACTCAGGAGATCTAATTCATCATGGACAGTTCCCTGAAAATATCTATGCAATGACAGTCAAAAAAGCTAAGAAGATTAGGAGACATTCTTAGGATTTTCAAGCTACAACAATGAGCCTGGGTCACTCGTGGGGGGGAGGGGAGGGAAATGCAGAACCCGAAACTACTTTTAAACTCCCCAGATTTCACACGGATAGCAAGACTTTAAAGAGTAGAACTTTTGCCCTTTCTAAATCCATGGTATTGAATACTGAGGGCAGTTCTGCTCACTTCCTCTCTCAAAAACAATAGATTAGACTTGGAGAAAACAAAGCAGAGAAGGGCAATAAAATTAGGGCAACAGAATGACTTCTGGGTGAGAAGAATATAAACATCTTCAAAAAGGAGAAATTCATGGAGGGTAGATCCATCAGTGGCTATTAGCCTGTGTTGTTAATGGTGGAACCCCATGTGCTGCATGTCCCTAAACTAGGGATGTTAAAATGCGTTTGCGTAAACGTATAAATGGCATCCCATGGAGTAGCCTCCCTTGTCCCCCACATCGTGCTGCTGCCTGTGATAGAGGCAGCAGTGTGTGTGTGTGTGTGGGGGGAGGCAGCTCTGCAGAGCCAACTCCCCACGTGTACCGGCTCCCTCCTGCCCCCCTCACGCTCTGCGCTGCTGCCTCTCTATCAGAGGCAGCAGCAGGTGGGGTGGGAACAGGATCCAATGTTCATGGGGAGCCAGCTTAATGCGGGGGGAGGAGGGAATGTGTGTGTCGTCAACAGGATTAACCGATAAGCCCAGGCTTATCGGTTAATTGGGTAGTCAACTACACGTTGACGTCCTTATTGGAGAATAGGATAAATTACTCAGTAATTACCCAATTCTATTTATTGCCTCTGAAACTTCTGGCACCGGCTACTCTCCAAGGCAGCACACTGGGCTAGATGGACCATTGCTCTGACCCAGTATGATCATTCTTAAGATTTTCAAACAAAAAGGAGCCTGGTCTCTTGGGGGCAAACGCAGGACACCCAGTATGATCATTCTTAAGATTTTCAAACTACAAAAATGAGCCTGGGTCCCTTAGGGGCAAATCCAGAAGCTGAAACTACTTAACTCATTTTTAAACTCACCAGATTTCATGCGGATAGCGAGACTTTAAAGAGTGGACCTTTTGCTAGCTATATTTTAGGGTACGATACAATTTATTCTTAGCCTATGACATAACACCTGACTCAGACTTGGTATTGATTAGCCTAGAGACTCTTTTCTCTCCCCCAACCAATGACATTGTCAGCTTTTGTAAGCGATTTCTCATCTTTCATTTAATAAAACACATTTCCATGCAAAAAAGAAGGTACATTTTATTTTGTCCTAGAGAGAAGTGAGAGGAGAGGGAATGGGAACTTAAATCCAGTTAAATTCACAATACGTTTGAGGGAGGAGGGAACTCAGAAGACAGATGTTTTACATGTTCCTTCTTGTGTAAGAGACAAATAGAAGCGAAGAGAACTGGACATTCCTATCCTATTTAGCTTTGAATAGTTCTAGTTGCTCTGGCTTCTTTTGGGGGGGGAGGGGGAGGAGTGGCACCCAGAGGCGACTGATATTGACAAATGCAGTTATTCTTTTTATTGTTTGGCAAGTTACGAATCACAGATGTGCACAGAAGATTGACAGCAGAGGGAGGGCTGCTAGTACCTGGGATCTCTTCTAGCACCCAATCCAATTCTCACTCAAGGTCATGTTAATACTTCCACTGCCTTCAGTGGGAGCTGGATCAGAGCTAAGATGGGAGCTCGCGTTCCCATCCTCCTCTCCCTTCCACCCAGGCTGTATACAGGCTGCCGACAAGTCAAAGATCACCAGCTGCTCACCCTCACCCAGCTTGCAGATTTTGCACCTGGGCATGAGGCTGCTTTAACCGCTCTCTGCTTTGTTTTGCAGTCCATACAAAACCTCCATCTGCTTCCTTTTGTTCTTGGCGCGAGTAATGGTCATCTTAAAGAGCTTGCAATAGAGTTCCACTGCCAGGGGGCTGTCGTCGTTCCCAGGGATGGGGTACGTGATGATGGAGGGGTTGCAGTTCGTGTCCACCACTCCCACCGTGGGGATGTTCATCTTGGCGGCATCCCGAACGGCCACGTGTGGCTCGAAGACGTTGTTCAGGGTGCTGATGAAGATGATGAGGTCGGGCAAGCGAATCCCGCTCCCGTACTGGACGTGGGCGTTGGTCAGCAAGCCCCCCTGCCAGTAGCGGGTGTGGGCGTACTCTCCGCAGTCCTTGGCCGTGACCTCCACCAGGTGGCCAAACTGACGGTTGCGGCTGACAAAGAGGATGATCCCTTTGCGGTAGGCGACGTGGGCTGTGAAGTTCAGAGCCAGCTGGAGGTGTTTCACTGTCTGATCCAAGTCGATGATGTCCTGCTCGAGGCGGCAGCCAAAGATATACGGCTCCATAAACCTGGGGGTAGGAAAGGAAGGAGAATGGGACACAAAGAACTCGGATCATTTTTAGTTTTTGACTAACGTTTCCAAACGCTCCCTGTCCCTACAGAAACTCTCCTCTGTCAGGGCATCTGTCAGCCTCTAACCCAGGGGCGGGGAAACTTTTTTGGGTCGGGGGCCATTGACCCACAGAAAAAAAAAATCAGTTGGGGGCCACACAAAAATGAGAAGCCAAAAAAACCAAAAAAATCTACCTCACTCAAGTGAGGCTCTGGGGTGGGGTCAAAAATGAGGGCTTCAATGTGTGGGAGGGGACTGCCAGGAAGTGGGTTTGCGGTGTGGGGTTAGGGTGCAGTAATGAGTTGGGGGTTGGTGTGTTTGGGCAGGAGGCAGTGCAGGAGTGAGCCTCGGGGGCCAGATCTAAATAAGCCAAGGGCCAGATCCGGCCTTTGGGCTGTAGGTTCCCCACCCCTGCTCTAACCAAAGGGAGTCAGGAAGAAAGTTTCCCAGCAGTCAGGTTATTCTGTAATTGCCTTCTTGCATCTTCTTCCGCTGCTAGCTGCTGTCAGAGGCAGGACACTGAGCTAGATGGATTTTGGGTTTGATCTTATCTGGCAATTCCCAGGTTCCATTTAAGGGAAAGTGATAGAAATGTGGCCGTGTTAGTCTGGTGTAGCTGAAACAAAATACAGGACAATGTAGCACTTTAAAGACTAACAAGATGGTTTATTAAATGATGAGCTTTCGTGGGCCAGACCCACTTCCTCAGATCTGGCCCACAAAAGCTCATCATCTAATAAACCATCTTGTTAGTCTTTAAAGTGCGACATAGTCCTGTATTTTATTTAAGGGAAAGGGCAGTTGAGGTCCTAGCCATACAGATCATTCTATCACACCCTGATAGACAGGGGTTCGCCCAGGTGAACCAGGGTCTTACTTTGGTTCTCGATCAACTCACTGGAATGCCAGAATATTTGCAGTAAGAACCCTTTGGACCCCTACAATCTTTAGCTTACAATGCTGCACGAGACATCAAACAACACAGGGCTGGGCAAGATGCGGCCTAGGGTCCAGCTCCGGCCCGCCTAACACTTTGATCCAACCCCTGGACGGCACCTGGCCACTTTCTATTTATGTCCTGCTGCCTGTGCACTCAATTTCCAGGTGGTGGCTCAGGCAGCAGGATCCTATTGAAATGACTTAGGGCTGGAGCCATAAGCCCATTAAATCCTAGCAATTTAAAGGGCTTGCAGCTTTGCCGCTACCATGTTGCCTTGCAGCCGCCCAGGGTTGCTGCAGCTCTTTAAAGGGCTCCCGCTCATGGCACTACCCCGGCAGGAGCCAGAGCCTCAAGCCCTTTAAATAGCTGCAGTAACCCTGGGCGATTGCCAGGCAATGCAGTAGCAGCAGAGCCGGGAGCTCTTTGTTGTGTTTTTAATTCAAAGTTTCTGGCCGTAGACAACTCTGGGGGAAGGAGAGTCCTCAGCCCTGCCCCTCCTGCCCTAGGCCCCGCCCCTCTGGGGGTGGAGCCAGCCCATGACCGTGTACCAAAATACGAAAATTATTGCCCACCCCTGAAATAAAATAACCCTTCTCCGTGCGACCGCAGTCAAGCACAGACTTATTGTCAAAGACCTTAGGAAGGAACCACCTTGCAAACACTTTTCAGGGCAAAGAATCCTCCCCTTCTTTTCACCAAAGACCCAATCAAGAGGCAATGGAAATAGACCCATTGTCTCAACGGTTAATGGCTCAACCTCAAGGCTCCACACATCAAGTTCTGAAACTGACCGATGACGGCACCCTTCTTTGTGCCCCAAGTGCACTCTGGCATCGAAGAGATCTTTCAGGGAGAAGAGCTCTTTCACGTTGAAGAAGTCCGAGTGCTTGAGGGGCTCAGTGATGAGCTTCTCATTAATAGCTGAAAGAAGGACAGCGAGAGGTTAGAGCTCCGGTCCCAGTTTGTGCGGCACAGAGGTTCGGTTGTGTTGTAAAAGAAGAGTGTTGTCTAGTAACTGATTGCCAATAACAGCACAATGTTGGGGTACGCATAGGGTGGATAGTGAGTTTACGCCATCCCTTCCATCCAGGTATCTTAATGCTTTTAGGCTTTCAGGCTCATATTATTTATCTCAGAGTAGAGAGGTACGGCTAGGTTAAGTGACTTGCCCTACGTCATATGGGAAGTCTGTGGCAGAACAGGGAACAGCTCTCAGGAGTCCTGACTTTTGAGCCCAAATCTCAGGCATGAAGTGATCCTTCCTCTGCTAGGCACATGGTCAGAGGGGAATCAAATGTACTGAATAACACATGCGTATGCAATCTGAAAACTAAATAGTCAATTTGGCTTAGAAAAGATGCTCACAAGATACATGATCCTCTGGCGTAAAGCAAACTTGGTGGCTACCAGAGAGAGATGGTTGGCTTTTTTCAACTTTCTTTGGTCAGTATCAGCCGAATAGGCTGATTCCTCTCACTCTCCTGAAAGTATCAGCCGAATAGGCTGATTCCTCTCGCTCTCCTGAAACAGGTGGGGAGAATCTTACCATTGGGGTCTGCTGGAGGATTTGCTTCTGGAGCAAGAAGAGTTCCGTAAAGTCGACTGCTGAGCTGGGAGGTCCTGGGGGCCGCTTTCCCCAGAGACTCAAGGCCCCTAAACCTGGGGGCGACTGCCCATGGAGAGAAGGGGGACAGGAAACAAAAAGCCTTCAACAAGGAGTTAGGGGGACCAAACCCGCCGATAACCCCCAGCCGCACCCGTCTGCAGAACCCAAAGCCCCTCCCAAAACCCTTCCGCGGACCTTGAAACAGAGGTTAACATTCGAACCACCCCCCTTCCTTTCCCAAAGGGGGGGAAACTGAGGCATGGGGAGGGGGGAAACTGAGGCACAGAGTGTCAGCGCCTGTAAAAGCTCGGCCCTTTGTCT